GAAAAAAATAAAAAAATACGTGTTTAATATTTTTAAACACTCTACCTGACAGACAAACAAACAAAAATTAGTCATCATCCCTATTGTATTAAAAAAAACTTTTTTTCATACCAGTTAGTGGACTGAAACGACTCCAATAAAAGGGGTGACTGGGTAAAAAAGTTCTTTTTAGTTAGTTAGTAAGTATTTTATTTTTGCTTCAATTTAACAAGAAATTACAGATAAAGGCATTAAATTTGGGGAGTGGGGGCTTGCTTTGTCACAACTGTGTAAAAAATGTATAAATGTGTGATGTCGCCGTTATTTATTAATTACACAAAAAATACGTGTTAAATTCTTTAAAATTTACCTGATAGAGAAACAAACAAAAAATAGTCATCACATCATTCATCATACCTACCGAAAAAGATTACATTATGTACCGTAAAATGGGGTGAATAGAATTTAAGGGGAGAATAGAAAAAATATCGAGATTTTTTTCATTGCGTTAGTTTGCCCTCACTGATAACTGAAAACAGCAACGTTTGTATTTTTTCGATAGTGCAACACTGACTGTTTGATGGCAATAGACAAAATATCAGTGAAGTTCTTCATAAATGCGAAAAAAAATCTGTCAAAGTGATCAACGCAACGGCTTTGAATTCTTGGTGCAGCAATATTTTCGTTTGTTTAGTGTAATATAAACAAATAGGGGTAATACGTGCTTCTGCGTGAAATCTTATTATTTTTCTGTTGTTGAAACATAATAGGTAAGTCAGAATCATGATAGTTTTTGAAAAAAAATATATAATACTGAATGCATTCGAATTAACAGTTATTTGGGGTGAAAAGAAACCACCTATGGGGTCAATAGAATCGAACTATGGGGTTAATAGAAATGAGTAAAGGCTAAATAGAAATGCTTGAGGGGTGAATAGTAATGCAAATGGGGTGATTGAAAATGTATCCGCTAGGGCTGCCAAACATTTTTTTTTTAAACGTAACAGAAAATTAAAGCAGCATAACTAAATAGCCTTGTAAAGTCAGTCCTGAAACTGTTGTTTTTTACAGATTGTTTGCATAATGCCGCGCGTGTATAAGCCGGAACCAGGAGGAAAACATTATAAAAGATATGATCCAGCGACTATTAAAGAAGCAGTGGAGGAATATCTAACGGGCTCGGAATCACTGACAAAAGTAGCTTCAAAGTACAACATGCACTCTTCTGTATTGTACCGCCATAGTAAAGGACTTCTTAAACAACAAGGTGGACAACGAGCTCTTTCGGTTGAAACAGAAGATTATATTATTGAATATATAAACATTTGTGCAGATTGGGGCTACCCACTGGACTCACTTGACTTGAGATATATTATTAAAATGTATCTTGATAAACTTGGGGTTACCCATAAACGTTTTAAAAATAACATGCCAGGGCCAGATTTTGTGCAGTGCTTTTTAAATCGTCACAAAGAAAAAATTTCTCAGCGAATTTGTCAAAACATAAAGAGATCCCGAGCTGCTGTGTCAGCTGAAACAATAATGAGTTTTTTTAATGAACTACAGAAGTCGTTGGTCGATGTTCCAGTGACAAATATAGTCAATTATGATGAAACCAACCTCGCAGATGACCCTGGACGCAGAAAAATTCTAACAAAACGCGGAACAAAATATCCAGAGCGCGTTATGAATCACTCCAAAGCAAGTGTTTCTATCATGATGGCTGGTACTGCAGCCGGGGATTTGCTGCCACCTTATGTGGTTTATAAGGCCCAAAATTTATACGATACATGGGTTTCTCGAGGACCTCGTGGAGCTAAATACAATCGTTCTGTTTCGGGCTGGTTTGACGCGAACACATTCGAAGATTGGATCCAGGCAATAATTATTCCATTTTTTGCAGACAAACCAGGCAGAAAACTGCTAATTGGTGATAATTTATCGTCGCATATATCTGTGGATATGATAAAACTTTGTAAAGAAAATCAAATTGATTTCGTGTTTTTGCCAACAAATGCCACACATTTAACGCAGCCGTTAGATGTAGCGTTTTTTAGACCCATGAAGACAGCTTGGCGGCAGATTCTTCTCAAATGGAAGAAAACCGATGGCTATAATGAGGCATGCGTACCGAAAGGGTGTTTTCCTCGACTATTAAAGCTGTTATTGGACACAATTCAAGAAAACGCAGATTCTTATCTGAAATCCGGATTTAAAAAGACGGGCATTGTACCATTCGATCCCACACAAGTTTTGACTCGAATACCAAATGAAACAAATGACACGGAAAGACATAAGGATGCAGTAGATCAATCGGTGATAACTTTATTAAATAACATGCGATATGGTACTATTGCGGTTAAAGATATAAAAAGAAAGCGGAAGATTAATGTGGTTGCAGGAAAGAGTGTTGGCGAAGATTTTTTGCAAGATGAGGATGATTATGATACAGAAGAAACTGCAGGTTCTAGTACATCCAAGAAAGAGAAACGTGTAAATCAAAAGAAATCTAAAACATTGAATAAATTTAAAGAAAAGGAAAATGAGCCACAAGAAACAAAAGATCCTGAAAGAAGTGGGAAAGGAAAAAAAACAAAACAAAAAGAAAGCACACCTATGACAGACAGTTTTTCAAATATCCCAATATATTATGAAGATGAACTGGAATATGGAGGGGAGTTAGTTATTGAAAACGTGCAACTAAACGATCCACTACTTTTTGATTGTAGATCAGATGAAACTTTAGTAATGGAAAACAAATGCAATATGCCTTTATTATTAGACCATGTTGAAAAATCTGAGTGTGAAACTAACAGTAATGAAATAAAAGTACCAAAAACACAAGTATTGAATAATGTTGGCTTCGAAAATAAAGAGAAAAAAGTAACAATACTAGATAACACAAGCTTTTTGAATAATAAGAAAAGAATAACTTATAATGTTAATAAAAACAAAAATATTTCCATAACTGCATGTTTAAAAAATTCAAAGAAGTCTCCTGCGGCACAAAGGTATTACAAAAACGATGAAGCAATATTGCAGGATCTGTTGGACGATAATATTTGATTGAGTAAAATAAAGGTGATTCGGTTTAAGTATAATTTACCAAGATTATTGTTTGTTTATCATAAGCGGATATTGATTATAATAAGCGGATATTGATTATAATAAGCGGATATTGATTATAATTTGTGGATATTGATTATAATAAGCGGATTTTAATAAAACTGTTTTTAAACCTTTAAAAATAGATTTTTTTCCCTCTTTTTAATTAAGTAAGCAAAGAATTCATTCTTGTTTATTAAGTATTGTATTAGCATTTTTGAAAATTTGTCTTATTTGAATACTCACCAGCGATCTTATTTACAAATATCTCTTGTAAATAATAAGTAATAACTAAGTTAAAAATATTTTGCTATCACTATATTAAATGATGTTATAAAGCCTTTTCGTACTGCCTCTGAAAACTATATTGCATGCAAGTCTATTCGATAATTGTTTTTAATATCGTTTTGGTTATAAATTAGAATATAAAGCAATATAACTTTAATTTATACTATGATGAACCGTTAAGATGTCATCAAACTTAGACGGTTGACCTACTGCAAGTACCAAAGTAGATACATAGGTTATAAATGCAATGCTAAGTTTTGCCAACCCTAGCATTTTTGTCCATTCACCCCACTTTCAACTCCATTCCCCCATATCACGGGTAAATAGAAAATCGTCATATTTTTTTAATTTATTTAATTAATCAAAAATAATGTAGGTTTGTGTTCGTTTGAAAACAATTAAATGCTCTTTAACTCATACATTAGAGAACACAAGTATGTCCAAATGTAACAAAATCATATTATTATCTGAAATCAAAAATTGGAAACGTTTCTATTCACCCCATTTTACGGTACCGTTCTTGCAATGATTTGACAACACTGACGTTTCTCTTTTAACTCTAAATTTCATGACGCAGCCGTCAAGCTTTTGGTGGGATTTTCATCCAGTGTTTACAGAATAAAAATATATAGTGTTTTTACCGTTGATTAGTTAAATAAATCTTAAGTAGACTTTATAAGTAAGAAATATGTAATGACTACTTAACAAGTTAAGTAGTTGTTAGTTAATCAGATGATAAGACGTTGATTAGTAAGGATGCTAGTCTTTAAATTATTAAAACACCAAAATACTGTTCGTTTTTCTGAAATACCGTTTATTTTCTTTCTCAGACCTAAATAGACTTTATTTCTTATGAAAAATCATGAACAATATGATCAATCAAGGCAGGTGTTTCAATAAGTTCGTTTTTGAAATTAAGTGTCAATGCATCGTTACGTGGTTTATTTTTACCAGTTTCACGATTGATAATATTCCAAGTAATTTTAATTTTATTATTGGAATGTTTAATTTTGTCTCGAATAAAATTTGTCTTCGCTAATGCACATACTTTCTTGAATAGTTTGGAATTTTTCAGAGTGGTTATGCTTTCTAAGATTCAACTTATGAGCTGTCGTTGTTGTTGCCAATCACAGAAACTACTGTGTGATAATTTTCTTTTTTTAGAAGGGAAAGCCCGATCTTATTCATTATTTATGGAATAAAAAGTTTCTATAAAGTACATTTTGGTCGTTATTTGACCATGATATATGCATCTATATTTAATTGAAAATTATCAATGAGTTTATTTGTGTACAAGTATATTATTCCAACTTTTTTTTTTTCAAAGTATCATTCTTACAACCATACCAAAAATATCAAAATGCAAACATAAAGGAACACATCCCCAGCTTCAAGTCCTTATCGATCTTTTGAAAAATTAAAGTTGGTACTATTGTATATACTCTTTGACGTATTGGATCCGTATTTTAATGAACCAATCAAAGAACATGAAAAATGGCGCGAACGAACTAAGAACAAGACGGAAATAATACTACCAACTAAAACATTAAAAGTTACTGATAGTGAAAATGTTATCTTAACACCAACACGTTAAAGTATAAATTTGTTTTAATAGAGTATCGTTATCGAATAAAAACGGTTACTCATTCGTTCGTTGCTCGGCATGCTCGATGCAAGCATCGCTCAACTCTACGCCGCCATCGCCATTTTGTAAAATTTCAACTCGTGATATCCTTTCGATTCGATACAAGTTCTAATCGTTTTATTCATCTGAATTTAGCGGTAAATTGATTATCAATCGAGAATCGATATTAAATAACGAAAGCACCATGAAGAAATGTTCATCGATTGTGTGGCGATTTTTTGATCGAATTGAAAATGAAAACAAAAGATGTTTGGCGGTCTTGTGTAAACTTTGTGATACGCAATACAAGTTTTTCGGGAACACTACAAATCTAAGAAGCCACTTGATAAATAAGCACCCGTTGCAGTGGGAGTTGGGACAGAATGGCACATTCGAGGAGACTAGCTTTCATGTGGACGACGAGGAATCTAATCAATCAACGTTAACACCTAAAAGAAGAAAGTATTCCAAGGGCTACAAAGATAAAAACGTACGTTATTCAATATCAGTTGATAATCCAAGGAATGTCAATGGCGACCGAATTCCCACAATTGAAATACAAAGGGTATTTATAATGTTATGTTTAGGTCCTCAGTATAGGTTATATTCTACACCAAAAGTGAAATATCTATGATGGCGTTCGTCTATCGTTGCTGCTACAAAAATATACAAAGCATTACTTGGTTCCTGAAACCCATTTATTGTTATCCCTTTCACAAATTTTTATAACCAACGTTAAACTACCTACTACATGTATTTGTATCTTTATATTAAATGCTCTTCTCATTTCAGGTAGATGTGCTAGATACTTCAGAAATTGATAATGACCAAAATGAAACTGAAGAGAATGAAGCTACTTTCAATTTAGTCAGACAGCTTCATGAAACAACGGCTTCTGATGAAGAATGGCTTGAAGAAGATCCATACACAAATGCACACATCGAGGCTTATGAACAAAAACCAAAGAGGCAGTATAGAAAAATTAAAAGGGAAGTGCAGACTCCCCCACGTCGAATGTCAACATACACACCTCATAAAGTAAGTTTTGAAAAGCCATCACCAATTATTATTGAGGAAAGCACTCAGTCAAGAGATGAATATTCTGTTTTCGGAGAATATGTTGCCAATAAATTGAGAAAATTCAAAGCACCTCGTACACGTGGGAATTTACAGCAGTTAATTACAACCATTTTATGGCAAGCAGAGTATGGAACTTATGACAATGCTGATGCAGTGAAAAGAGTTTTGATGTATACTTCACATGAGGCGGATAATGCACCAGAAGCAGCTACACATATGCAAACTGAAATCATTGTAGAACATAAAGATTTGGATATAAACCAAAGTGATGAGTAATGAAAAAATAACTAAGATTTAATAACAATAATATGATTGAAGTTTTCATAAATTGTCTTAATTATGTGATTGATTATTGTAAAGCTGTTGGGAAAATAAAATGGAATAGACACTAGACTAATTTCTTTAAAACCAATTTCATATATTTATTAACTATCAAAGATTAACAAATGAGTCAAACATAGTACTGCCATTAATGAAATAATAATATATTTTTAAACATTTCCTCATTAAGATTGATGCTTCACTGACAGATGCATTGTATGTCCTAATAACTTGCATATCATTCATTGCAGAAAGTCACAACAAACAAAATATATGGTATATCACTATCTTGTTATATCATATATCTCGTACACTTTATGGATGATCTGTTGCATGCCAATGTATAGTTCTCAGAGCATCACTGATTTTTTTATTCATATTGATGCGGGAAAACAAACACGTAGTAACCTGCAAAATCAAAATTGTTCTTTAGAGCAGAAAATCTTTAATTTTTTTTCAATAAATAATTACTATAAACGTCCATGGTAACGAATAAGGTGTTCCTTAGTCAATTTATATGGTTAGAAGATATATTTTTTTTTTTTAAATATAAAGATTTTCCACTCTAAATATCCATTTTGGTTTTGCAGGTTACTATGTGTTAACTTTCCAGCGTCAAAATATGGTTGTTTTACTTGCATTTTATTTTAATTAAAAATACACTCACTAGTAGTTTAAAGGCACAAGTGCCTATAAAATTCATGAGTTCTCTTTGGTGCCAGGTAGCTTAGTTGTTAGTCGTCGCCCAGAAAGGTCAAGGGATCGAGTCCCACCTAGGAGTACCTGGGTATGGTGAATATTTTAAGCATTTTTCTTTTAAAATATTATAGCTTTGTGAATGCAAAATTCATCAAATATAGTATTATTTGTAGATAAAAGAAAAGAATGAAAAAAGGTTGATTTATTCACAGGTTACAATATTTAAAATTAATTTTTGACTGGTGAAATTAATGCTTAGAGAAGGTCCAAGGGCAAATTTTAAGAAAAATAAAAAATTTTTTTGGAATAGAAAATAAAAAGAAATATTAAGAAATAAAAAAAAAAACATATTATATTCATAATAGAGGTAAGTTTTTTATCTAAGTATACCTAACGAACTTTCTGATTCACTGATTTATAATTGCAAAGAAACATTGTGGTCAGTACCTAGTTATTTTATAGAATATGCACTCACCACCCTTTGAAAAGTCTTCCCAAGAGTGAAATAAGAGTTGAAAGTTTGTATGGCAGTCTGTCATTTTTAAAGTTAGATACATAAAACTAGTTTTGGGTTACTTACTGATAAAAAAATGGTAAATACCCATTTCAGCCATTATAGGTATTCTACCCCCAAAGTGAAGGGCTCGACGACGCAGTAGTAGCACGTGCAGTCTGCCATGCAAAGTTAAGCAACTTTCACAAGGCCTGGTCATAGGATAGATGCCCAAAAACTCGTTATCTTAAGTACCTTATGCCTCGGAGTCGAAAGGCAAGTCAAGCCGTTGGTCCGCGCTGTCTGTTGTTCAGTCGTCCAGTCGTCAACACCCACCAATCCGCACTATTCTCAATTCCATCCATAGCGAAGGCTTGTGTCCTAGCATTTGGGAAATAATACGTCGGTAGCGATAACGAAGACAAATAAGAAAGATATTTAAATTATAAAAAAGAAATGTATACTACCATCTAGTGTTGTACTAACATAACCAGATATTATGTATTTCTCTCGTTTAGACACATGTCGGTGATATTGTATTTTGAAACTATTTAGGTCGGTTGTTCGGCTCATAAACAACCAGGATGCGACTTAATTGCAGTTTGCACTTCGAATGGAGTGTCATTATTAGACATGTGTGTAGGGAACTATGCGGAATAGTATTTTAGCGAGTTTAATTGACTGGTAGAACAGAGAATGTGGTGCAGCTTTTGCGTTTTGAAGATTATATTCATGCAATCTATACACAAAAAAAACACTATCTTAAACCTTTGCAGTTTCCTTCGGACTTTCAGTTTTCTAAAAGGCGCCAGATTTTGAAGCGTGAGCTCTCGATGACGTTTAAGAGAACCGCTATTTTTTATTTGTTGACTGACTAGTAATAGATAAGAGGATAGAGATCTATCGAGTTAATAGCAAGAGAAACTGACAAGTACTTACATAGGTAAATACAGTGGCGGATTTACCACAGACTGAGTAGGCTGGAGTCTAGGGCGGTGTCATGTGGAATGGCGATGAACATAGGAGAAGTGTGTGAATGCATCCGATCTACTCTACAAGTACTACTGTATCATAGTAACTTATTACCAAACTTTGCCATTGATTAACGCATCAAAATTTCTTGTTGACATGCATAAATAGTTCGAGGCCTTGATATTGTCACCCCTTTTAACTCTGTTTCAGAGTATCAACAATTGCACCTACTAGCAATCTTTGAGAAAAAGCGGATGAACATGCCGTGTTCATCTTTTTCGTTGTAGCTTTTTTCTTTTTGCATGTATAATACTACAATTTGAACTCTCACAGGATAGGGATGACGACTGTCCATCTGACCATCAGTCAGACAATAGAAAAATTATCTGATTTTAAGAAATAGCTTAGATAACAGGCATTAAAATTAAGGAGTGGGAGCTCGTTACGTCACAGTTTTGTAGAAAATGTACAAAAGTATGACGTCATGTGACATTTTAGTTCAATGTATCACCGTAATGTAATGATTACGAAAAAATATCTAGCGCTAACTTAATCTTGTTTAAGAGGGTGCGTAAACCAACAAATGAATACCTTGCAATCTGCATAGTTTTATGTTATAGAGAGTTTAGTTTATGATGCTCTTTAGCTTTTTTTAAATTACAAAAAGTGTGGATTTTCAGAAAAGAGTTCTTCGTGTCTCAGCATCATTAAAAGCACAGTGATATAAGCTTGTATAATATAAGCAGCGTTGTTTTCCAAACATTTGTCATGCAAGAATCTTCGTCACAAACTTAAATATAAAAATACTAATTTATCTTAGTCTTGCAGTTAGTAGTATTAATAACACCATAGGAGTAATAACAGATAACCTATGGAAGGTACTAGCGGCACCTAATAAGCTTTAAACACGCAAAAACGACACGTGTAAGTCATATCTGTCTGGAGACCAGCAGTATCAGTGTCGCAAGGACAGTCGTCATTTGTTTCATACAACTGTTATTAATAATAAAATTAAAAATAAATATCTTAGAATAAAAGTTGTTCCCATAAAAAAATTAAATCATAATTTTATAAGCAAATCGTTCGCCGTGTTATTCAACGAGCTCAAAAAGTAAGACAGGTTTCCTTCTGGCAATACTACCTGGGACCTGCGCATGCGCTCTCAAAGCATGGCTTGATGTTGTTTCATCTTGTTTCTCACTCTCACACGTCAATCAGCTGTTCTACCAACATGGCCACGTTAGGACGTAGCTCAGTTAATTTATTACGAAAAGTACGAATAAATCCAGTATTAGCCCAAAATTTTAGTACCTTTAGAAGTGATAAGGTATTCACTAAAGTCCTTACTACATGTGCATGTGTTTTTGGCGGTGGTTTAGTGTATTATGCTGTGAAAATTAATGGAAATGGACACACTGTCTATGCACTTAAAACGAAGGTAAGAGAGTTTTTATAAGTATTACATTCACAAATTATTATAAGAAGCAATAGTTTCAATAACCAATTAAGTCTTGTTATAAAATAGACAGATTTACATCGTACTAAGCCCATATCACGCAGCCGCAGTGCTTGTTTATAAATAGCACCGCCATGACGTAAAAGGCTTTTGACGTTTATGCTACGTTCAGAAACATCGTAACTTAACGTAAACTTGTTCTTAGCTTAAAATCCGGGCGACTATCACGAATACCTATAATGAAGAAGGTTACTTAATGTCCGTCGTTTCAAAGAAATAATTTTAAAAAGATTGGTTTGGTTTTGATTACTTTGAAACACTTCATACCAGAGCCACTAAACATTCTTTAAAAAATAAATGCAGTAACAAACAATGACAAAGGGATCTAAGTCCATACAACCTAGCTTTCGATATTACAACCTAGGCTACTTAATGGACGAATCATAAATCAATAATTGCAAAATCGAATAAATAATTTGCTATGTGTTTATTAATTTAATAAGCGACGCGCCGAATAAACTCAAACCGGGACCTGAATTTATTTGTGGCGACGAGCTTGGACCCCACTCGGCTCTCTTCTAGTGGATACATACTATTACTAAAACCTAAGTGTTTTAAACTTTTTATGCTTCTTAGTAGCTTTTAAGTCGTTTATAAAGCGGAAACCCGTTCGCGGTCCCGTGCTCAATTCGCTTGCAGCTGATTCTATCGATGTAGATTTTATTATAAATATGAAAAGGAATTTTTCATGAATAAGCCAATAATCAAGTTTTACGTTACTATGGTGCAGTGGCTGACTAGGGGGGGGGAGCAATTTTGTTCGGCTTGACTCTGCTTATTGTCCACTATTCTATCATCGCCATCTTTCATTAATTTCATTTTCATTTTACATGTAGAAATTTATTTATTTACTTGACATTGACAGAATTGTGCGAAATGCGCACATAAGCCATTAATAAAAGAAGAAGAAGAAGAACCTGACTTTTGTTCGAGTACAAGAAACACTTGCTACGCTTTAATCTCTCGAAGGCATTCATACATTTAAAATTTTACTATATCCGACATTTGAAAGGTGTGAAATGTCAATAATTTATTACAAAAAAATATATATCATTCCATTATTCCAAATATATTGGATTGCTATTAATTTTCGTTGAACACTTATGTTATGTTCATATAAAGTGCCATCCTCACGGTAGGTGATCGTAGCTCTGACCACCGATCATCTGATGGTTGTCCTACCATGTGGACGTCTCGGCTGTTCGACGAAATCTGACCATGACCTTCAACAAGGGCGTTGAAGCGTACCGTATCGGTTTGCCACATAATATTTGCGCACAATTACGGAATTTGAGGTATCTCGAAGGGATGAAAATTAATTATATATATGTTCGGATTTTAAACATGATATCACAATATTTGCAACATTTATGCAACAAAGATATTTTTTTTTCAACGGTAAACTTTATTAATCTATTTCATCTTTCACTCATATCAAAATGTTTACTAAAAATAATAATAATAAATGCTCTTTATTGCACAAAAAAAAAATAAAGAATATACAAAAGGCGGCCTTATCGCTATCAAACGATTTCTTTAGGCTACATTGCATTTAATGGAAAAAAACATTAAATAGCAGATTGAAATAAATCAAATTGAACCACTTTATATCTTCATAGATTATAAAGTTAATAAATGAGGATAACTGTTGATGAGCAGCTGCCTCCAGGATTTTCAAAAGGAAGGAAAGGATAAAAATAGGCCTGAAGTTGCTAAGTTGTTTTGGAGGAGAAATTTTGGGAAGGGGAATAACGAAAGCTTTACGTCAGAGAAGTGGAAATTCACACACAGGGAAAGAGGAATTGAAGATATGGACGATAACGTGAAGAATATGATCAAGAATGAGTAAGTTAATTTCTCTACTTACATCGTCACAGTGTGAATTTTGTAACGTTACAATAAGAAGCTTCAGCCACCTGACTGAGTGCTAGGTATAACGGCCAACGCGTTGCTTTGTTAGAATGATTCAATGCGTGCGTTACTTCACTCCTTTCTAGTTCTTTTTTTTTATATTTTAGACGTAATATATTAACGCAATCATCTTACTGTTTTTACTTCCTTAACTAACACTTGGAGGGTATACCAGATTAAAGCTAACTTTCAACATTAATTGTTAGCAACTGGCTGGTCATCTCACCTTTTTTATAAAGTTTTGTATATATTTTGAATATGATTGACGTTTTATGATCTTTGGTTGTCTGTCAAATGCTTGTGTCTTTTACGTTCGTGATCTGATTTGTTGTATAATTTGAATATTAATTTGTGTTATCTTTGTTTTACTGTGTTTTCCGAATATATCATATTATTTTAATACAGTCCATCTTTCATTAGCTCACCCGTAGTTATCATTTTGGTCCATTCGATCCTTGCACATATTTTTTTTTTCCTGTAGACGTCATACTTCATACTTAATTTTCACTTCTATCATCTAATTCATAATGGAAACACGAAGTAAAACAAGGAAGACAACGGATCACGACGTGGACAATGTGCTAAGTGATTCACCTTCCTCTTCCTCGAGCCACCACATCGCGAACAGCACACATTCAATGCATCCTATTGTCGATGCACACTGTTCGCCAGCTCTTGGAAATGAATCACTTCCCACACAAACGCGCAATGAATCAGACGATTTTTTCGTTCACAATCAAGATTTTGATACGCATTCGTCTAACGTTAACCCTGCTAGTGTTCACAGCTTCTCTACTCGACGCAGTAGCTTGACTCGGTCATCTGCTACGGTACGTGTAATGAGACTTGAAGCTGAAGCTGAATTACTACGTCGCCGTACAGAGCGAGCGCAGCGGGCAGCAGAGTTAGAACGGCAGCGCGAACGTGAGTTGGCAGAACGAGAGCGAGAGAGACAACGTGAGCTGGACCGTTTAGAAGCTGAAGCGGACGAGTTAGCTTTGCAAGCGAAGCTTGCCGCTCATTATTCAGATAAGTCTCGATCACTTACGTCTCAACGTACAACATTGTGGGCTTTAGAACAGAATAAGCAAATGGGGATTCAGGGCAAGCTTTCGCGTGACGTCCATAGTATTCCGCTAATCACGTCAGAAGCCTTGTTACCTGTACCACCGTCCGTAACTTCGGTACCTATCCGAACTCCCTCTTTACGGCCGGTCGACTACAACAACATAGCCCCTACCTATAACGATTTCTCTAATAAAACGCCCAAGAAACCATTTATTGAAACCAACTTGAACATTCGCCCTCAGCCATCTAGTTTCTCTCAAGATCCTATTGAGAAACTTACTCATGCTATCACATCGTTATCGGACCGTCCAAAAAAACCTGAACTTCATATTTTTTCAGGAGATATCTCATATTGGATGGCTTTTAAAACCAGTTACGATCGAACTAAACATTTATTTTCATCCATAGAAAACATGAGTCGGCTTAACAACGCTATACGTGGAGTCGCACATCAGGCCGTTGCCTCGCTGTTGTGGGCGTCTCAGGATCCCGAAGAGGTGATGCGCGTACTCGAACAGTCTTTCGCGAGGCCAGAGCTGTTAGTAGCGCAGGAGATTACCGCTCTTCGACAATCTTACAGTAAGATAAGTACGCCAGAGCAAATTAACTATTTTGCCAACAGAGTTCGTAATTGCGTTACTACAATCGAACTCATGGGTCAACACGAATATTTACATTCTCCGGAACTATTTCGTACAGTTTCATCAAAGCTCGGCGAGTACTTGAAAAGTCGCTTTACTGACTACGCCGCTGATAATTCAGAGACATTAAAGTTGACAAAAATTCAGTTGCTATCTAAGTTTTTATTATTAGAAGCAGATCGTCAACTAAAATATAATTTTACTACCGATACGAATACTTTAACAATCGTCGCCCAAAAATCGAACTTTAATAAAGCCAAACCTATACATCATAGAGAGTTTGTACAGGCTAGCACCTCAGCCTCAAATAATAATACATTGTCACCGTGTTCTTATTGTAAGCAGAGTCAGCATACGATAAGGTCTTGTAAAGAGTTTCGATTACTCACTGTTAACGACAGATGGCAATGGATTCGAAAAGCTAAAATCTGTTACGTGTGTTTAAAGAATAATTCGCATAGATGGAATGAATGTCGTGCTAAGCGTTGTGGTATTAACGGGTGTACTCGTCGTAACCATTCCCTTCTGCATGATGAGACCAACACTTCAACGTCAAGTTCTCATACCTCCCAGTTGAACGCTATCGCAAGCAATGTCACCGCTATTACTGACAATAACGAAGAGAGTTCCAATAACGATGTAACGTTAAAACAATCCTCAACAGTTATTCATCTGACAGGTATAACCCCATGCCTATCACGGCCTCGAGGGTTATTGAAGGTGCTCCCGGTTGTGGTGGAAGGTCCTAACGGTTCCTTCAACACCACCGCACTTTTGGATGAGGGCAGCACTGCTACGCTGATCGATGGCGATGTAGCTGTGAGAATCGGAGCACAGCAGACTTCCCAGGAACAACTGAAGCTGGTCGGCGTGAGTGGTATGACAACAGTAGTTGAGGCAAATTACGTCAACTTCCATATTCGAGGGCGAAATTTGCCAGACCGCCACTTTATCGAACATGCAAGAGCAATCACTCCTCTTAATCTAAAAATGCAGGATACGTGTCAAATATCTATTACTGATTACGCACACTTATCAGACTTAGAAGATGAGCTTACAATCGAATGCTCTTATCCCACCGTTCTCATTGGCGCGGCAGATTGGCATTTATCTATAAGTCGTGAAATCAGAGTTGGTAAGAAAAATGAACCTGTGGCCTCTAAAACCTTGTTAGGCTGGGTGTTACATGGAGCTATATCTAACGCTTCTAAAACTGTCAGTTTTGTTAATCACTTATCATGTGAATCAACACTAAAACTAGAAGAGCTAGATACATTACTCAAAAGCCAATATGCAATTGAC